GCATAAGCTTTCGTGGACTACAGCCCACTTCTTCGGATGCATCCGAAGAAGTGGGCTGTAGTCCACGAAAGCTTATGCTCTAATAAATTTGTTAGTCTCTAAGGTGCCACGAGTCCTCCTGTTCTTCTTTTTTTCTGGTCTCTTGCTTGCTCTTTCTTCCTTTCCCCTCCAACTCTGGCTTTAAACACTTACTGGATTTTTTTCTGAGAGAGACGTCAAACACGAAGAAGGAATCCTAACAGGGTAAGTGGCAGAGAAACTCAAAGGATGGGAGGGGTCCTGCTGTGACATAACAACTACTAGAGACTTGCTCCTGTCAGCAAGGAGGGGGAGTCAGATTAGTGGCAGGGTTGTTTTTAAATATATAGAACACTTCTGAAGTTCTCCCTGGGTTTTGTACCCTTTGGGATGTATTCTTAAAAATCCCACTTACGGGACTTCCTATGAATTGGCTGTATACTCCAACAGGCTGCAGCAACACCACAATATGCTGGCAAGAAAGGAGGGGACCAGCACAAAAATGACCTCTCAAAGACGAGCAGTTTATCAGGGGTTCTCAAACTGGGGGTCACGAGGTTATGTGGGGGGGGGGTCACAAGCGGTCAGCCTCCACTCTAAACCCCGCTTTGCCTCCAGCATTTATAATGGTGTTAAACATATTTAAAAGTGTTTTTAATTTATAAAGGGGTTCGCACTCTGAGGCTTGCTACGTGAAAGGGGTCACCAGTACAAAATTTGAGGACCACTGCAGTATATCGAAGATCACAGGGAACATGCCACTCCGACCGCTACTGTTTGATACACTGTAGCACCTGTGCTTCTGCCAGTGATTAGGATGAGCTGAGTCTCACCACCTGTAGTCGGATACTTTGCAAGACTCGCCTCCTCCTGAAGGTGTCTCCAGACCAGACAGGCCGCGCTCTCCAAATGTTCGCGGCAGACTAAACTTTCTGATACGCTGTGCAGGAGAAGAGGCCAATTTTGCTCGGGTTGGACTCGGTCCTTAAGAAAATTCTCCCGTGGCGTGTAGGTGGGAAATCACATAATAAAACCATTTGTCAAGACAATTTATTTCCAGGTCACCTTCTAAGCGTTACCCTCCCCCGCTGCCAGTAACGTGTAAGCGTGACGCTGGGTTGTTATTTCAATGCGCTTGCTAGTGCCTAGGAGCGAGAGTGGGGGCCGTTGGGCTACAGCCGCTCCCGGGTTTCTGCCGCGGGACCACGCCGCCCCCCGCCGCGGCGAGCGCTCGAACGGAGCGAGCACCGCGCCTGGCCAAGGCGCTGTGAGCGCAGCTGAGTTGAGGGAGCGGCTTTCCCCGGTTATTACTATAGCCGCAGCGCCACGCACCTCGCGGCCTCCGCCCCCTTGGGGCCCTTCCCCCACCGAATGTTCTCACCCGAAAGCCCCCTCGGGAACTCCGCTCCCTCCCCGCCTATCTAAAGGAACAAACAGCCCCCTCAGTGGCCGGCTTCCTGACTCCATTCCCCCTCCCACACACACACACACACACACACAATGCGCGCCGCG